AGTATTTTGTGTGTAGACCATCTAACTCAAATCATATCAAAATAAAACCAATGCATTGAATGTCATATAAACTTGAATGATATCCAACATTTATAACGCTTTCATTTGACAAGTACATTAGATTTCCTTCCATCTTAATTCCGTGAAATTTTGCACAATTTAATACTTCAGAGGCAACTAGTTATAAAATATTTATAATTACAAAGTATACTACTTATTTATTATAAGTAATAAACAGTGAATAGTGACAAATTTACCGAGTAGATCTGTAGTGAGACTGTATAAAACTACCTTTGACAATTAAAATGTTTACTATCTAACATATAAAAGACTGTACAGACATATTTTATAAAACTAAAATTTTAATTTTGAGGAAGTTTCAAGAGTGTAAAAAGCGCTTCTTCCTCCGCTGGAATCTGGTTTGTTCTCCCACCCCAGGAGGTTGTTGTTGATAGTGTTTGACCAACAGATCCTAAGTATTATGCGTAGGACCACTGTTAATAAACACTTGTATCTATTGGATGATGGCTTTCGTAGTGCTGCAAGTTTTCGCTCCATAGAGTAGAAATGTCTTGACATTTGTATTGAAAATTCTGACTTTGTGAGAGAATATGGCGCTCACCGTCATTCTTCATCCAACTCTGTCCTGGTCAATCCTCCCACTTAGTTCCAGTTTCTGTTCATCATTTTGACGTCTGCTTCCAATTCTTGATGTAGGGTATTCTTTTGTGTTCCTATTTTTCGTTTTCCCTTAGGATTTCACCCTCAGCTATTCAAGGGTTAATCCTTGTTCCAAGTCCAGATAAAGGAGGAGGGTTGGGCATCGGGTCAGAAACCCCATCCTGTAGCAAACAACCTTGTTTAAAAAATACTCTAATCAGAGGCTGTGATACTTAGGAATAAATCTTGATTTCTTTGTATATAATTATAGACTATCTTATTTCCTAATTAATTATAAATACGATGTTACAATTGCAATGAATTATATGGTTGAAACAAAACTTTTCTTTACCGAATTGTCCTCACTTCTTGATATATTCCTCGATAACGTTGAGTATGATTGTTTCCCCGAAGAAAATCTGACGATTTCACCAGCAGTAATGTTAGGATTATTCAAATTTAAACCATCTAAATTATTTGATATATAGTTTGTAATTTTAATATCTTCATCTTTTGATGAATAATTGATATTTACTAGTAACTTGGTCAAAAAGCACATGATATGTACTTGTTAAATGATATAATATCAACATTTATGTATCCATTACATCGCGAAGTTTGGCAACTTTTAAGCTAATAGCCGAAGGAATTTCTCCCAACACCACATTTATTTAGTCCTTTTCGGAAACTTGGAGAACTATTACAACCATCATCAAGAACGTACAAGTATTTATAAATAGTTGTCTACGCAAGATACTCAACATCCTTTGGTCGGATACCATCAGCAACAGCCTTCTTCGGGAGAGAACAAACCAGCTTACAGCTGAAGTGGAAATTGGGACAAGACGATGGAAGTGGATAGGATATACATTGAGGAAATCACCAAACTGCATCGCGAGGCGAGCCCTAACTTCGAATCTTGAAGCGAAACGGAAAAGAGGAAAACCGAAGAACACACTACGTTGAGAAATAAAAGCAGACATGAAAAGAATGAATATCAACTGAAAAGAATCGGAAAGGATTGCTTGGGACAGCTTTGGATGGAGAGTGTTGGTGCGCTGCCTATCTTTCTCGATGGGGAGTAACAGGCGTAAGTAAGTAAGTACGTAAGATTTTTTGAAAATATGTTTGTTCACGAAATAAAGTACCATAGTGTCTTCGAACCATAGAATCAGATCATACTACAGACTTCCGTTAAAATGGTTATTGTTTCTTTAAACAAGACCATAATATTGTGGATTTGATTTCATTTGAAATAACCGATGTATATTATTAAACATTTCAGAACTAAACTAAAATAACTTTCCTACACTAGGTAATTCTCAATAGGTTTCTATGATGGTATAACTTTTTAATAAAATCTAGTCTTGACAAACTATCCAATGTAATTTTAAATTATTTCATTTCATTTTGACTTAATGAAATACTAATAAAATCTATACATTACCACCGGTAAAAGCTTGGAACTACTGGATGGTTTTCATTGATGGTCTAACATTGACAAGTTTATGATTTCAATGAGATTCAACAATCTCTATAAACTATAATTAAAAATTATGTATAAATCAAAATGGGGCACTGAATATATATTTGTGTGTGGGCTGTGATACTGCTCGAGTGCCCAGACCGAAGCTGGTGGTTATCTTAGGGAGCCACACCCTGAGCCTTCGATCTAAAGGTCTGATCCACAAGGCAGTGGAGAAATGTTAGGAGATGTAGTCTCATGGTTGCCGGTGTCCAACGATTGCTTCATACGCCATTTGTTCCCTCAGGATACTGGAACCCGTGTGCACCACTGGTTCAAAACCATGGGTTTTTCCAATTCCTCTGGGTGTCCACTAACCCGGTTAAAACGCCGGACATTCGCTCTTCGTCCTCTCAATTTTGTAAGCAACACCCGTGATGCGAAAAGACAGTGAGTAGGACTTCCGTGGCAGACGCGTTGCCATTTGAGAGCATTTCGTGATGGAGAGCTAACTTTCCCCACCCTCAACCGTAATAGGGCATTTGGGGGCAGTATTGAAGAATGTACTGATGAAAATTCATTCAAATCAAGGAAGAATAAATGTTGTTTTGATTATTCCCTATTAAGATTCCATAACTTATCCAATACCATAAACATTTCACACTATTTGTAATAATCAACTAACTCAGATATCATTAACTGAGAAGAAATAAGTGAAAGCCTATTGAAGTTTTGAAAGATGATAATCTGAAGTAACTGTGTGTGTGTGTGTATGGATAATAAAATGTTGCTGTGTTCTTGAAAACCAATCATTGGAATTGAATTTCTCACATCACTAAGATATATTTAAGCACATAACTCAACTCTTCCTCATTACAAATACTAAAAAATTTTCAAACTCACTCATATAAATATAAACATACACAATAATCATAGATGGATAGTGGCTAGCAGTGGAATCGAGGACGCGTTTTTCGTCCTATTTGAGGCTTGTCAGTTGGATGTACCTGCATCTCAAAGTTCATATTCACTCTGGGACTCGAACCCAGTACCGTGCACTTCAAACATCATCGCGTTATGCACTTAGCTACTGAGTCTGATAGCCACCTGCTTGTGTAATGAGTGAAGTTGTATTCATTTGATGTTGCTTGCTTCTATCTTTCTATTGTTATTTAGGATTGTAATCGAGCCTCAGAGTGAACATCAACTCTAAGATGCAGGTACATCCAGTTGACAAGTCCCAAAAAGGGTTGAAACGCGAGTCAAACTGGATTACACTGCTAGTCAATATCCATCTTTGCTTATAAAGCTTTTGACTTCAGGCAATATCGAGGCAGTCTGCACAGTATGCATATATGCCAACAACAGCCACTGATCAATTGCAGTCCTAAATAACAATGGGAAGACAGAAGTAAACAACATCAAGTTAACACACAATAATGTCTCACATATTGTGGTTTATTCTTTTGTACTATGAAAAACTTATGTTAGTCTGATTCGGTTATTTGTGCCAAACTGCATAACGTCAGAAATTAAATTTTTCTACTCATGGAAGATTCAAAGGTGACACACGAGGTGATTCACGAGGACACTCTAAAAAAATATTCAAAAGATCAGAACAAATTGCTTGTCAGCTGACCATCGATTCTCCCATTGAATCATTAACGAATCGAATCCATTAACTCAACACATGATTGAAGCTGCATTTGTTAACTCTTTCAAGACAAAGTTGAATCAGTTAAGAGACCATCATTGCCAGGACTAATATAGGTCACTTATCCACTTGTCCTTTCCAAACTGAAACTGTAATATTACCAGTTTATTGTTTTCTTATCATCAACAATTTAACTAAATTTCAATACATTTGATAGTGTCAAGTTAAATTTTGTTTTTGATTGAGATCATGAAGCGATTAGTATTAGACCATCATTGAAAACCTGGAAGCGCTGAATGGACGTTTCGTCCTATTGTGGAGCTAATCCGTATCGTATAGAGACAGGTGTCTACCTCAGTACAATGGAAGATGGTCGCTCAGTTTTGTGGATTAGTTGTAGTTAGACATTAACACAGTTGGATATCGGCTCAATGGTCTAAAGGTTAAGTGTTCGCGCACGAGACTGAAGGTCCTGGATTCGATTCCCAAATACAAGATGGTGGATACACACTGCCACTGAGGAATCTCACATTAAGAAGAAACGATAGTTCAGTGCTTCCAGGTTTTCAATGTATTTTATTATTATCATGTTTATCAACCTGGATACTTCTTTTTATTGATTGGCATCATGAACCGATTGATGTTAGACCACCATTGGAGCCGTGACCAGTGGAGCTAATCAATGTCGGGTAGAAACAAGTGTCTACCTCAGTACAATGGAAGATGGGCGCGCAACTTCGTGGATTGATTGAGGTTAGACATTAACACTATTGGATGCCGGCTCAGTGGTCCATTAGGTTAACCGTTCGCATGCAAGACTGTAGGCCCTGGATTCGAATCCCAGGATCGTGGATGCGCACTTCTGAGGAGTCCCACAACAGGACGAAACAAGCGTCCAGTACTTTTAGGTTTTCAATGGTGGTCTAACATCAATTAGTGCATATTCTCAATCAAAATAAAACTTCACAATCTTCACAACCCCTAAACTGTTAAATACTTCCGTTTTTCTGACACAAATCGATATACTTCAATCCGTATGAAATAATTAGACATTGACGCACATAATTATGTATGTTTATTCATGTGCGTATGTGCATGTGCATGTGCATGTGCGCGTATATATATAGTTTAACATTATTTAACCAATCAGCATTTTCTATCTGTTCAAGGTCACGATAGATTTAAATAATAAAAGTGGAAAGACCGGTCATTTTAATTTAAATGATTCCAGAAGAATTACAAATGATTCAAACAATTAATGAAGTGAATATACCAATATTCAATATTACAATTCATGGAATTAATGATCATGTAAATGTACAAAAATTAATTACATTCTTATTACCAGAATATGAAACAAAGAATATTGTTGTCAAGGTAAGAACTAGGTAATTTGTCTAAGCTTACGAACAATCATCATCTCATGTATAGTTCATCTTGAAGAAGTATTTGTAGTTGACCATTGAATAGGTTGAAGTTGTCAAAAATTTTATGAAGGATATAGACAGTTTTGTGATGGTTCCCAGCAAAAGGAGCTTATACAAGATATATCACACAAAGTCTTCGAAAACTAATATTGAGAATCTTAACCAGGTAATTTGTATCTATCGATATGAATTAGACCAACAATCAACGATTTCATGATCTGATGCCATGTCTTGATTTAAACATGTATACTCATTCACCATGTAATTGAGTATGTGAAGGATAATGATACAACTCCGTTGCTTTAAGCAAACTTACTTTACTTACTTACTTACGCCTGTTACTCCTAATGAAGCATAGGCCGCTGACCAGCATTCTCCAACCCACTCTGTCCTGGGACTTCTTTTCTAGTTCCATCCAATTCTTGTTCATTTTTTTTTCATGTCTATTTCCATTTCTCGGCGTAATGTGTTCTTTGGTCTTCCTTTTCTCCTTTGACCTTGAGGATTCCATGTGAGGGCTTGTCTTGTGACGCAGTTGGGTGCTTTTCTCAATGTGTGTCCTATCCACTTCCAGCGCTTCTTCCTGATTTCTTCCACCGCTGGAATCTGGTTTATTCTCTCCCACAGTAGGTTGTTGCTAATAATGTCCGGCCGATGGATCCGAAGTATTTTGCGTACACAATTGTTAATAAACACCTGTATTTTCTGAATGATGGCTTTCGTGGTTCTCCAGGTTTCTGCCCCATACAGTAGAACTGTCTTGACATTTGTATTGAAAATCCTAACCTTGGTGTTGGTTGACAGAGAGTTGTTTTGAGTTCCAGATGTTCTTCAGTTGTAAGTATGCTGTTCTTGCTTTGTCAATCTGCGCCTTCACATCTGCATCAGATCCACCCTGTTCATCAATGATGCTGCCCAAATACGTAAAGGTTTTTACATCTTCCAAATCTTCTCCGTCAATTGTGATTGGATTGGTGCATTTTGTGTTGTATCGGAGAATCCTGCTTTTCCCTTTGTGTATATTGAGACCTATTGCTGCTGAGGCTGCTGCCACACTGTTCGTCTTCTCCTGCATTTGTTGTTGCGTTTGGGATAGAAGGGCCAGATCATCTGCGAAGTCTAGACCGTCCAACTACATCTTAGATGTCCACTGTATCCTGTGTTTCCCTTCAGATGTTGATGTGTTCATGAGATATATCGATACACTAGGTTAATATTAATATACGAAGAGAGTTAACAGTAAAAACCCTAGGTGTCTATCTGCGAGTAAAACCAATGGTAACAAAATACAGTTAGGATACAAATGGTATATTAAACAAACAGATAATATTAAAGATTCCCATTGTGAAAATTAGAACAACACATATAAGCGAACAATATTGTTTTCAATTAGATCGTCATCAGGCCTTTACTCTAATATACATGAATATTTATACGAAAATGTTAAACCAATCAAGGCAATATGGGTCAATCATCACAATGAAATAGAATAAGTCACTACACATAAAATAGGTAAAAGTACAAGTTGATAGTAGGAAGACAGGTGTACTGATAGTAGTAAGAATAATAAAATACGATAACAAAAGTTATATCAATAATTTATTTGATAATGTTTTGCTTGTATCTTCCCATTGAAGTTGTTTAAGACTGCAATTCAACGGGGATGTGGCTAGTGACACTCTGAAATATAGGTTAACCAAAGTAATCACCAGGATATTCTACGCAGCCAATCTTGCGTTGACCTTCTCTTGTCGACCAGCGATGTCTACTCAAACGAAGGATAAGTTACCTGAGTTGGCCTCTTCCATGTGCATTTACAAATTCAGCTGCTCCTGTGGAGATAGCTATATAGGGCGTACTACCAGGCAACTTAACCAACGAATGAGTGAACATCTACCAACTTGGTACATAAAGGGTCAGAGAAAAACTATTCGCAGTTCTATACTAGCACATCTTATTGATAGCGGTCATGCAGTAGAGAAATCGAAATCATTTCGAGTTATCTATCGTATACCTCCATCATTTCCCGACGGAGTCCGTTCCCGTCTCCTATATATAGCTGAAGCCATTGGAATTCGTACATATAACCCCAATCTATGTGTACAGAAGAAATACGTGACTCCCCTATCCCTTCCATGGCCAGTTATAACTTAACTAACAATTTTTTATTTAAATTTTATTATTATCATTATTTATTTTATTCTATCTGTGTTATTGTTAACCTTATTTCCACATCCATTATTTGTTTGTCATTATCCGCCTCTCTTTGTATTCTTCACTATCTAATTATTTACACACATCTTATTACGTAATGATTTTAATGTTTTGGTGTTGACTATTCCTTGTCTATTTACCCATGTTTCACCTTCTATTTCTAACGTTTAACTATTGATAAGACTTTTGTTATTGTATTTTATTATTCTTACTACTATCAGTTCACCTGTCTTCCTACTACTATCAACTTGTACTTTTACCTATTTTATGTGTAGAGACTAATTCTATTTCATTGTGATGATTGACCCATATTGCCTTGATTGGTTTAAAATTTTCGTATAAATATTCATGTATATTAGAGTAAAGGCCTGATGACGATCTTTATTGAAAACAGATAATAACAGTTATTATGAAATGAATGTTACTTGTAAGCTACCTCGTGAAATAACAAGCACAAATTGAGTTCACTTGATTGACAAAGATTCCTCTGCAAGTGATTGCATCAACGGCGTGATAAGAAAGACGGAGTCCAATAGTATTATATAATAATAATAATCCGTGCCAAAAGTCCAATGTAGCATCGGTAGCCATAAAAGGATGTTATAACACTATTATAGTCTTCAATCAAAGACCGTAGCCAATAAAGCAGAAGAACAGACGGCGTGGGTAGCGTTTTTATATTTCAAGCAACGCGGTAGTCAATTCGTATATTCATCATCCAACCAATTATCGTCGTTTTTTAACCAGTGATACAGTGACAAATCAGAGAGAGAAAATGCGGTTTTTATTTTGTCTTTACAAAAATCACTGAATTAACGTCACCATAGTCTTCATTGGCACAAGAGTATGTGCGAAACACTAGTATACCTAATTTATTTAAATTATTATTCTGATATAAAAAAGATTATGATGGAAAAGTGACAACACCAATTAGATGGACGAGAATGGTTATAGCACAAAAGCTTAACACATTTTGTTGGATGATCGGTAGCATCTCTGGTGCTATACAGGAAGATGATGAAAGAAGTTTGTTAATTATTGTAAATCGGGACCTTCTTGAATGGTTGGCCTTGTGGAGTCTGGTGTTTTGTACGTGAAACCGGTTACAAACCGATTTTCATGACAAACGTTTAGTAATTACTATCATCACTACAAAACCCCACTCTGATCATAATCATCATATGCTCACTAGTGACTGGTTTCAAGAGGTATTTCCTTGAATTCTAGTGAGAAGCAGTGACCAATGGAGTTCACTCGGGTCTTTTTTTGATGGAGTTTTGTTCTCTGAGCTGGATGGTTTGGTCACGTAGCTTTCATCATTCTTCTGAACGATGTCATCAGCATAAACTTCTAACTGAACTACAAATATTCTCAACCATCTCACTCGTATCTGTTGTGAGATAGTAAATCCCTGAAGACAATAGTGAATGTGTCGCTCAATTTTATGGATTAATTGAAGTTAGACATTAACACCGTTGGATACCAACCAGCTCAGTGATCTAGAGGTTAAACGTTCACGCTTGAGACCGATAGGTTATGAGACGGGATCATAAGTGCGCGCTGCCGAGAAGTCCAATGCTATGACGAAACGGCCGTCCAATGCATCTAAGTTCTCCATAATGATCTAGCTTCACTGGACTCATAAGCTTACTACATTCCCTTTCTGATAATTATGTAATCCATGATTTGTAAATCTTTTTTTTTACAGGTATTAAATAAAGGCTATTCAAATCAATTAATCTTAATTGACCATAAGAAACAATATTCAGCTTCATTATCTTCAATACCATCATTAATTATACGTATTTATGGGAATTTAACAACATCATTAATAGATAGAACAAATGAAATGAAATATATGAAAGTAGTTGGAAAATTCAAAGGTTTTCAACAATTATATGGAATATTTAATAATGGATTTGTATATTCATACATTGATGGTTGTGATATTTCATTGGAAAAATTATATGATATAAAATATGGCAAGTAAGTAGTTGAAGATGATTAGGGTGTTTTTTTTTATTGAGATCATGAATCGATCGAAAGAGCTGGGTTCGAATCCCGCTAGTGGGATTATGGATGTGCAGTCAGTCAGCCAGTTGGTCATTCAGCTAAAACGTAGAATCAGGCACATATATCCAACTTATCATACCTCATTAGAACAACAACATGAACACCAAACTCATAGAACTAGTTAATGCAATGATAGTAACAAAGATTGTGTATAAGGATATAGTACAGGATGAAAGAATTAGTTGGTGGAAAGAAAGATATGAAGCGATTTTTCAATCTCATAGTTTAAGGGAAGAGAAAGAATGTATACACCGACACCATTTCGATCATTTCTGAAACATGTCACGCCAACCCCAAACAACTAGTCTGTATCCAGCAAAATGGCTCAAACAAGAAGTTAGTGACTTCAAGCACTGATACCACGTTTTGGTTTTTCCGCCACTCACTTTCTTCCAACCATTCCAAACACTCATCAGCATTGCGTGTCGTGATAATCAGTGTTCAGACATACGTAACAGGTGGTCCAACCATTTCAGTCGATGAAGATTCACAGTGTTATCAATTGATTTACCATCATCATTCTCTAATACCCTGAGTCTAATCTCACTATTACTTACTCGGTGATCCCAGAAGACGCGAGCACTGCTGAGCAGTTACACAATAGGACGAACACAACCATCCAGTGCTTTCAGGTTTTCAATGGTGGTAGTCTAACCTTGATCGATTCATGATCTTAAGAAAAATTATTATTTCATATTCTAAAATGAATTAACAATTGACTGATTGAGAGATTTGAATTTTAAAACAATATGATAAAGATCGATATTCGTTTGCTTGACATTGGAACTCCTTTCGAACAAAACTATAACTCACTCAACTACTCATTTAAATGAATTTATGATAATGTACAAATATCTCATCTTATTGAGAAATGATTGAACATAGTAAGTGAGAAATCATGAACCTAGATGTTATGCTAGTTTGCAACTAGTCAGTCAAACAGGCTTATTATTTTGTAGTGAATTGATGCTCGCAGTATGATTCGAGGCTACGTGACACTGAGTTACAATTGGAGATGTTATCATTTAACTGTTTGAGCCGGGATTGACCTCTTATAAGACTTGAGCGTTTATGATTGATTGATCAGTAAGTGTCACGTTTGTCTAATCTTTAGTGTCGATCAGTTTCCATCAATCAAGTTTCCGTATATTTTACAGATCATAGAGATAGGAGGTAAGATGTAGGAATTAGATGATATGGCTCAAAACCGTTCGCAATTGCGTAAGTGCATCCACTATTTGTATTCTCCCGAATTCTAATCTTCTGAATTCTTTATGTCCCTCTTCGAATCTTAATCTTTCCGACTACTGCTTATACTCTTACTATCTCTACCACTATGGGATTTGAATCGACAATTGTATCTCTGTGCTAATGTAGAATGGCAAGTCGAACTGATGTACGTACGTACGTACGTACGAAGTTCTACGTTGTTACTGACTATTTATATTACTTATTCGAACACATAAATACTGGTGCAAGGAGGCACCAAATACATATGCGCCACACAAATCTCATTTGATTTGTGTGAGGACTGTGATACTGCCCGGGTGCCCAAACCGAAACAGATGGTAATCTTAGGGGGCCACACCCGTAGCCTTCCATTCAAAGGTCTGATCCACAAGGCAGTGGAGAAATGTTAGGAGATGTAGTCCCATGGTTGCCGGTGTCCAACGATTTGTTCATACGCCATTTGTTCCTTCAGGATACTGGAACCCATGTCCACCATTAATTTAAAACCATGGTTTTCCAACTGGCCTAGGTGGACTCTCCATGTCCACCAACCCGGTAAACAACACCTATGCCACGAGAAGTCAGTGAGTAGGACTTCTCTGGCAGAGACTATATACGCGTAGCCATATTGGATAATATCATTATTATCAATATATATACATTATTAAGACTAATTAGTACTTAGATACAGAAATATTATTGATTTTTGCATCATTCACAAAATAGATTAATTGCAGAGAAATTAGCTCAGTTACATTGTTTATCGATTGGTGAATTTATACAACAACAAAATAAGAAAATCAATTCAGAATCCCAATTATTTCCAACATTATTCAAATGGATCAACCGACTTGATGATGAATTTATTAATTTATCAAGAAAATTAAAAAAGTAAGAATATTTTTTAAGCAAACTAACTATATTACTGTTAATACTACTATTTGTTATATAAGTATATCTGTATATATAGCTACAAAATGGTGGTCATGCTGGGACCACCGGGTAAGTAACAGTAAGGTTAGACTCATAGTATTAGAGAATGATGATAGTAAATCAGTTGATGACACTGTGAATCTTCATCGACTGAAATGGTTGGACCACCTGTTACATATGTCTGAACACTGATTATGACGACACATAATGCTGACTAGTGTATGGAATGATTGGAAGAAAGTGAGTGGTAGACAAACCACAACGTGGCATCAGTGCTTGAAGTCACTAACTCCTAGTCTTAACCATGTTGGTGGATGCAGACTAGTTGGTTGGGGTCCGCGTGACTATCATAACCAATGGTTTGAAACTGCGTGTGACATGTCTCAGAAATGATCGAAATGCTGTCTGTGTTTACATTCTTTGTGTTCCCTTAAACTATGAGATTAAAATCGCTTCATATCTTTCTTTCTACAAACTAACTCTTTCTTCCTGTACTATATCCTTATATGCAATCTTTCTTTTACATAATACCACCATTGAGCTAACTACTTCTATGGCTTTGGTGTTCATGTTGTTGTGTTATGAGGTATGGTAACTTGAACTGATGCATATATGTGAGTGGTCCTACGTTGTAGCTGACTGACTGATCAAAAGTACAGTTCGGAAGCAGAACATTCGCACATCAACGGCATTTGAAGGTCATTGTGAACTATTACGAAATGATTGGATTCGGAAATGTAAATTATTGGTTAATGAATCAGAGTTCTAAATGTTAAGCGCTTGTCATGACGTTCTGAGTTCGATCCCTTAGTTGCATGATATCACTAGGTTGTCCCATTTCGTGACAAAACAACTGACTAGTAACTCCTGATTTTCAACGGTTATCTGGAATTAGTTAGTGATGGAACTGATAAAATTCAAGAATCTTCACATACATGCTACATCAATCGTGTTTTGAGTACTGTATATGAAATTGTTATATCTAGAGCTTAGATTCTTACTATGCTGCGTATAACTTGAGCACTCAAACGTTAGAACCCTCCGTGGTTGCAAATGAGAAGACAGAAGTCAAGTGAAAGGAATTTTATTCCAAATAGTGACAATTATGGTACAAAACTGTCAGGTATTTATAGTTTTTAATAAAAACGAAATCATCATTATAGTCATCCAATCCGCATACAGAGGGTTATTAGCATTTGTCCAATAGAAAGCTGCACGTCGGGGTTCTGGAATATTCTTCCAAAAGATGATTGAATGGAATATCTTTGGCACTTTCTTAGCTTCTTAGAGCTTCCTCGAGTTCACCTATGGACCATCCTCACAGAAATACAGATAGAATTGACGATATTATTTTTTGTTCTTTGAATGACAACAATTATTTGGAACTTTCTCAATGAGGCAAATTGTCAATGAGGAAATAAATTGATACCTCTAGTGATATACAAATTAGAAAATATTTACATTACAAATACCCAAGTCATAATTAATAAAGAATAAAATCAATAGGAGAATAATTATGAAGAAATATATAAGGGAATATAGAGATATAATTATCCGACTATTCAGCAATGAAATAAATAGTACTGATGCTTGAAAGAGTTCCAGACGTTTCAACTTTTCCAGTACTCGTCCTATTGCAAGACCGAAGCATATTAAACATTGCTGCTGAAGTTCAACAGTGTATTCATTCAACCAGAGAATTACAATGGAAGAACGGATTAGTTAATATAGATAGGTCTGAAGTGAAGGAGAACATAGGCAAGGACAGCCGAGTTACTTGGTAAAATAGAAATACCATACTATAATACTTCATTTGCAAAATGTATAATAATTGTCTCGAACTTCGTTGTTCTTGCCCTTCCATAATAATTGCTTTCTATTCTCGCTCTTCCTTTCTTGATATTCCCCATCTTCTGCTGCTAGACATTACATTCCTGACTCATGTTATATACTACTTATGTCAATATAAGTAGCACGCACCACAAGTCAACTCAAATGTGAATTAAAGGAATCTATCCTCATTTCCAATTCTATGATAAGTTAATTGTAGAATTCGAAACTGTGGTTAGTTTCAGTAAATTAACTTTTACAAAGCTTTTCTTATTAGCCATTTTCACCGATATCATTGACTAACAATTATGGTTCTAAACATAACAGTCATCTTAGTAACTATCGTTATCTTCGACTTCATTTGTTATTCAATTCATATCTACACCAATACTAAGACAACAGACAGAATTAGAACGTTATTTCAACATATACATAAATATCACACTTGATGGTGAAACTCTGAAAGATGTTGAATCTTTCACGTACCTGGGAAGTATCATCAATGAACAAGGAGGATGCGATCAAGATGTAAAGGTGAGAATTGGCCAAGCAAGGGCAGCATTCCTACAGTTGAAGAACATATGGAACTGAAAAAAACTGTCAACTAATATCAAAGTCAGAATCTTTGATAAGAATATTATGAAAGTCCTATTGAACGGAGCTGAAACATGGAGGACTGCTATAACCATCATCAAGAATGTACTGAATGTCCGTTGACCGGATACTATCGGAAACAGCTTACTGTGGAATAGAACAAACCTGCTTCCAGCTGAAGAGAAAATTCGGGAAAAACATTGGAAGTGGATAGGACATACATAACAGAAATCACCAAACTGCATCACGAGACAAGCCCTAACTTGGAATCTTGAATGGAAGCGCAAAAGAGGAAGAAGTTAATACCATACTGTACAGAAAAACTAGTAAGAATACAATGAAGCTTTCATTTCACAACTTCAAAAAACTTCAAAAATACAAAATGTTTTTCAGTATGAGGATTGTTATTGAGATCACAAAATGTATGAGGTTAGACGACCAATGAAAACCTGGGAACAGTGGACGGCTGTTTCGTCTTAGTATGAAACATCTTAGCAGTGTGCATCTCCGAATACGCACGCTGGAATCGAACCCAGGATTTTTGGTATCAAGAGAGAACGTCCAACCTCTAAGCCATTGACCTAGGATCCAAGGATGCACATGTGTTACTTTGATCAGTTTACGATATTGCACCAACACCTTTCACTATCTTTGATGAGTACCTACCTTCCTCAAATCCGACATAGTCAAACTCCACTAGCCACAGATTTTTTCACTGTTCAATGTGTGTGTGTGTGTGTGTAGTTTCTCAAGCATTTTCGGACAATTTTTCGTTTATTTAGTGGTTCAGTCCGATACTCTTTGAATAACATGAATTGTCTAATTTAATCTAATCCATAATGTAAACTAAATAATCATCTGTCATCCTAAGAAAAACATTTCATCATCTTCATTTTATTTTTTATTTTATTTTAACACATAGATATTGGTACAAGAGGGCAACAAATACATATGCGCCACACAAATCTCATTCGATATATGTGAGGACTGTGATACTGCTTGGGTGCCCAAACCAAAGCAGGTGGCTTTCCTAGGTGGGCGCACCCCGAGCCTTCGACCTGAAGGTCAGATCCACAAGGCATCGTAAGGGGATGCATTCCCATGGTAGCCGGTGACCAACGATTGGTTCATACATCATTTGTTCCTTTAGGATACTGGAGCCCATGTGCATCATTGGTTTGGGATCCTGTTAAAGCACCGGACATTTGCTTTTCGTCCTCTCATTTTCGTAAACAACACCTACGCCACGAGAAGGCAATAAGTAAGACTTCCCTGGCAGAGGCTATATACGCGTGGCCATGAGAGAGCATTTCGAGAGGGAGGGCAGACTCTCCCCACTCTCGGCCGTACCAAGGCATTTGGGGGCATCATCTTCATTACTTCATGATTTCACTTTAGTTAAAGTTATCTAACTGTTTTGATGAATCAATCAAAACTACCGGGAACGAAAACGTTACTCTATATTTTTTCTTCATTTTATAATTATTACTTATAACTTTTCAGATATGAATCAATTTTTCCAAGTAAATCTTATATATTCAATGAAGTGATCAAATTGAAAGATCAATATCTTACCAGTCCTATATCTAAAGTAGTTTTATGCCATAACGATCTGAATGCAGCTAACATTATACTGGCTCCAGATGAAAGTGAGTACAAATATCCTTCAGTTAACTCTTTGAAAGTCACGAAAAGCTTAAAAACATTTTTGTTAAAATCAGTATCCATTAAGAACTTCTTAAGACCATTTAGAAAATCGATGGATTATTTGACACATTTTGTCTGAATGATCATCTACTTGTTTTTTGTTATTAGGTTTAATACACTTTTAGAAGTTTAGAGAAAGTCAAAGTTACTTATCAACCCAAGTAAACTTTAATGTTAAACATCTATTCGTACTTCACACCTTTTCTCCCCTGTTCAATAATAAACTATAGGGGAAATATGGAGATCTAGAAAGAGGCTAGAAAGTCATTACCAAGCGTTCGAATTTAAGATGTATCATATGTATTAGATTACTACTGACATACAGTTGCCTCAGAACTTAAGTGTAATCACTTGAAGTCTATTTCTATTGAGACTCAAAACTTCAATAAGCAAAAACATTGGAAATTCTACCTAACATAATGTAGTACAATATAAACACATACAGCATATTCACTTGTAACCCTTTGTGTTAGTAAAGTTGGCGTATGTACAACAAAAATTAAGGATAGTCATTATAGATCAGTAGTGTAACTAGGTTAAACGTTTTTCACATCTAGTTCATAATTATTTGAAGTACTTTAATTTTATTGGTATACATTAGTACTGACTTTTAGTTACCTAGTCAATCAACCAATCTGGCTTTGATCTAAATTCTTTCTTGAGTAACATATAATTTCCAATAGTTGAGATCATGAGTCAATTGAAGCTAGACCACCATGGAAAACCTGGAAGAACTGAACAGCCGTTTTGCCCTATTGTGGGACTCCTCAACAGTGCGCATCCACAACCCTGTCCCACGGGATTCGAACCCAGGGAATATCAGTCTCCAGCCAGGCGACTCATGATCTCAACTATTGAAATTACTACAATCTCCACAAAACCCCTTCTGATACTCATCAACGTATACTCACTAGTGACTGGCTTCAAAAGATATATCCTGGAGTTCTAGTGAGAAGCAGTGACCAGTAGAGTTCAACCGGGTCGGTTGTGAGGCAGTAACTCACTGATGACAATGGTGGGTGTGTCACTCAATTTCGTGAATTAGTTCAAGTTAAACAGTAACACAGTTGAATGCCGGCTCAGTGGTCTAGTTGGTTAAGCGCCTGGTGCGAGACGGATAGTCCCTGGGTTCGAATCCCGTGAGACAGGGTTGTGGATGCGCACTGTCGAGGAGTCCCACAATAGGGCGAAACGGCTGCCCAGTGCTCCCAGGTTTTCCATGGTCGTCTAGCTTCAATTAACTCATGATCTCAACTATTGGAATTACTACAATCTCCACAAAAGACTGATCGATCGCCGTCCTAAATATCAATGGGAAGATTCAAGTAAACAATACCAAGCGAATTTAAACTTCACCCCGTTGTACTCAGGTGGCTATCAGGACTCAGTGGCTTAGTGGATAACGTGTTAGTGTTTGCAGTGAACGGTTGAAGGTTCGAGTTCTGGAGTGAACATCAACTCTAAGATTCAGATAAATCCAGCTGACAAGTCCCGAATAGAACGAAACGCGAATCAAACTGGATCCCATTGCTAGCCAGTATCCATCAGATATAACTTAGCGATAAAATTTCCCACCAAATCGATCAAATATTTCCATATTTTATTGATCTCTTATCATTTTAGTCATATACATTATATTACACTAAAAAAGAAAATGGATTTTAGTGTACATATATCTGTATCTTTTTTTATGCCTTAATAGATTCTGTTCACCTGATTGACATGGAATATTGTGACTTAAACTATGCTGCATACGATATTGGTAATCATTTTTGTGAATTTACTGGTAAGTTTTCATTACAGTTGAATTACTATTGTCTTAAGACAATGAGATGTAGATACATTCCCTTGATGAGTCCTCAAAAGAACGAAACACGCTTCAACCTAAATCCCATTGCTAATCACTATCCATTTTTGTTTAAAATATACTTATCTTTTTTCTTTATATTATTAACCAACATTGTTATTGTTGTTGTTGTTTTCTTTGTTTTAATTATAACAATTCATTACAGGACCATATGCAATAGAGTTTAAACGTTATCCTTCAATTGAATATCAAAAAGAATGGATAAACATTTATTTAACAGCCTATTATCAATATTCTAATTCAAAATCAGATCTTCATTATAATGAATTACAATGGAATAGATCTAAAGAAGATTATATAAATCAATGGATTAAAGAGATTAATTGTTTTGCATTAGTAAGTTAAACGATGTGTTATCATTCAATGAATTAGTGAATATGTTCACATAGATAATGTAATGGATCGAGATAGACTTAGATAAACACTTAATCACTAGAATGAATAGATTGAATTATAGTTGATATATTTTCCATTGTTGTGGTATATCATAAAGTGATTCAAGTTGAAATGAGATCGATACATGGCGACGACGACGACGACGACGACGATGACGACAACGATGACGAAATGGTTCTGATAGAAAACTTCTCTTTAATTTGTATGATAGAAGATTTAAGTTAAATGTAATCATGTTGAATGGACGGTGAAACTAAAATTTATGGACGAAATTTGAGCGACGCCAAAGTGACCTTGAGGGTGTTCACCTAGTGATTAGGACTAAATGTGGGTTATAAACCTGTGTGAGGAATTGGAATTATGATATACGCATATGGTGAAATTCGAACACTTTACTTCTATCTGAAGTTTGTGCTGATGATGTCGTTCAGAAGAACTATGAAAACTCCACGACCAAATCATCCAGCTCAGAGGACAAAACTCCATCAAAATTATGATATACAGTTGATGATTAAGGTCAAGAATTAGATTTACAGTTTTCATGACGAACTGACATAAGTTATAATACCAAAATGCTATTTAGCCAAATGGATGAATGAATTTCACACCCGACTTCAAGACCCTTTATCTTATACATGATGGGTTCGTTCATAATTTATAGTCTCACCGAATTGACTGTTCAAATGATAAAGACCTATGTGAAAATCTGTATTAGAACATTTTAATCTAATTTTAGATCATTAATTAGTATAGATAGAAACATTTTCAATGCCAATAGATAGTCCTAAATGTTCAGACTGATTTTGGAGATAAAGGCAAAAGCTTACTTTGTATTACATTAGGTTGAAATGAGAAAGTTATATGTCGGGATAATCATTGCTTTACAATTACAATAGTCAATTTGATGAAAATGAAATCATTGTTTACTTAGTTACTTACTTACTTACTCCTGTTACCCCCAATGGAGCATAGGCTGCCGATCCTGGGTAAGGTAAGTGATAATAAGAGACACAGTTAAACACTACTATTTCGTAATATTAGCCAGTTGGTTAGTCTTCTACAACGTAGGACCAGGCACATAAATGCATCAGTTCAAGTTACTATACCTCATTAGCACAACAATATGAACACCAAAGTCATAGAAGCAGTTAGCTCAATGGTGGTATTATGTAAAAGAAAGATTGCATATAAGGATATAGTACAAGAAGGAAGAGTTAGTTCGTCGAAAGAAAGATATGAGGCGATTTTAATCTCATAGTTTAAGGGAAGACAAAGAGTGTGTACACAGACAACATTTCGATCGTTTCTGAGACATGTCACACGCAGTTTCAAACCATTGGTGAGGATGGTCACGCGGACCCCAACCAACTAGTCTGCATCCAGCAACATGGCTTACACCAGAATTTAGTGACTTCAAGCACTGATGCCACGTTTTGGTTTGTCCACCACTAACTTTCTCCCAATCATCTCCAACACTAGTCAGCATTGTGCGCCGCGGTAACCGGTGTTCAAGCATTCGAAATATATGACCCAACCATCTCGTTCGATGAAGATTCACAGTGTCATCAACTGATTTAGCATCATCATTCTCTAATACCCTAAGCCTAACCTTACTATTACTTGCCCGGTGATCTCAGCAGATTCGAGCCAGAAAAATGGAAATTCATGTACTATGTATCTTAGATTATGTTGCTGTGTGATCTGAATAATCCAATTAGATAGTTTTCCCAGATTTCAAACCAGTCAACATACGTCATTGAGTCTGTTATCAATTTTACTTTGGCTGGGTAAAAAAAATTATGATGAATTATAATTATGCTTATTCATCCCAGTTAACAGATTGTGTTCTCTTCTGATATACTTGGGACTCGGTTAGACTTTATGTCCAGTGCATCCTGCCGACTACTTACAACTATCTAAAGTCTGAATGAATATGTGTTTAAACGTTTAGTTGAACGCACGAGTCAGTCTAAGCTAGATCACCGTTAAAAACTTTGAACTGGGGTTGTAAATGTTTACTGCCGATGAATCTTATACTAGATTGAAACGGCCGTCCAATGTTTCCAAGTTTCCAATGGTGGTTAAGCTTAGATCAATTCGTGAATTCAACGATTAAAACATATTATCATTGAAAATCACATATTCAGATGTTTGTAAGTCGGGGCAATAAACCATAAGTTAAGATAAAAGCTATTATAATACCAAATAATAATTTTCAGTTAGGTCACTGTGTGACATTACTGTGGAGAGAGAAAATTAACTACTTAATTATTTATTATTATTATTATTTGAACACATAGACATCGATACAAGGAGGCAGCAAATAGATATGCACCACATAAACCATTCGATTTATGTGAGCGCTGGGATACTGCTCGGGTGCCCAAACTGGTGCACGTGGTTTCCTTAGGGGGCCACATACGGAGCCTTCGACCTAAAGGTCTGATCCACATGACAGTGGAGCATCGTAAGGAGATGCAGTCCCATGGTAGTCGGTGACCGGTGATTGGTTCATACGCCATTTTCCCTTCAGAATACTTTAGCACATGTGTACCACTGGTTTGGAATCAGGGTTTTCCAACTCCCTGAGGTGGATCCTCCATATCCACCAGCCCGTTTAAAACGCCGGACATTCGCTTTTCGTCCTCTCATTTTCGTAAACAACACTTACGCCACGAGAAGTCAGTGAGTAGGACTTCCCTGGTAGAGGCTATATACGCGTGACCATGTGAGAGCGTTTGGAGAGGGAGAGCGGACTCTCCCCTCTCTCAGCCATACCAGGGCATTTGTAAGCAACTAACTTTGGTGTCTCCTCATTTGCGGATAAATCTTTCGCCTTTTAACTAGTCGATTAATATATGACGTTGCATTATAGTGAACTACACTTTTCTTCCCCTAATTTTAGGTATCTCATTTACTTTGGGCTGTTTGGGCAGTAATTTGTGCATCGGAAGACTTATATTCTATGGATTTTCTAGCGTAAGTTATTTTTTTTGTTTTTTCGATTAAGGATAAATTACAAAGTCATTTCTTATCTTTCAAATGGTGGGAGGATTTTAATGAAACAAGCTCTAGAAGGCAGAAAGTAATTGGTATATGTTTTATCCTAGTACGAGAGTCTACAACGGCAGATATCCATGACCTGATCACGAATCGAACTCAAAGCTGTGAAGTATCAAGATGAATAATTCACCTCCAAATCAATTCATTGACAATGGATAGTTTACATTCTCAAGTTCAGTCAAACTAGGTTACTCGTTATGCTTAGGAACAATAGGTATGGTATTAAGAGATGCTAGGATAGCTAATGTTTATTGTTCAACATATCAATTCATATATTTCATTCAAGATTAAAGGGTTTCATCTGTCACTTCATTTTCAGTCAATCGGTTATCATCAGGACAGAGTCTCAAGAAAGAAAATTATCAACATCTACTATACTTGACTATGAATGTCACTCGGCTTTCGATCAGGAAGTTAGCATCTACTGACGTGAATTAAAGTGCCAGTTCAGAAATTCACGGATAGTTGTCATTTCTTGATCATTTTGCCCTCACCTTTTTTCTTGACGAAATTCTGGGTCGAACAGACAATATTATTACCTGTCTTAGCTCTATTGATTGATTAAAGTTGACTTGCTTTATTTACTCAATAACATACTTTTAGCCTTAGTATTTCTCTCTCTGTGCTACCATGAAAATAAACAATGTTTCACAGACAGCTATGGTCAAATACTTCTAATCTTCATACACCTTCTACCTTCATATATAGTTTTTCACAGGCATAGAGCGTAACAAAGCGGTAATTATCAGTATAGGGTTGTGGAGACTATTAAGTTTCTGAGTGAGATCATGAATCGATTGATGTTCGAATCTCGCGAGCGAGATCTTGGATGCACACTGTTGAGGAGTCCCATAATAGGACGAGACGGCCGTCCAGTACTTCCAGATTTTCAATGGTGGTCTAACATCAATCGATTCATGATCTCAATTAAAAACGGAACGCTAGGTAGTTTGCTTACCCCTAAGCTATTGAATAGATTGTTGCTACTGATTCTTATTGTACTTGAACGCTTAAACTCTGGCGGACTACTTAACCGCTTCCCTATTCACTGAAATATTCCATCTACTCTTGAATTCCAAACAGAAAATACAGATCTAAAAGTACCGAAAAAGCTTTACTATGAAGATTAATTAGTTCATTTACAGAAAATATGGATGTTTATAAGATTACTTGTGACATTGAAATCGAAGAATCTTTTGAAAAACATGGTAGAAACCATTGGCAATCGAATCTATAAGTGTACAATTATTTAGTCGTTTTTTAGGAATTTGGGAGGAATGTTAAATGATCGATGCATCTTCACCCTTTTATCTGTCCTCTCATCATCCAGAATTCATAAGACGGATTACAGTGCAAATTTGTGCATGGACGACAGCTGAGAGACACATTCCAAGTGAGGACTGGAGTCAAACAAGGCTGCTTACTTGAAACATCATCAAAAATGTACAATTATTTATAAACAATTGTCTACACAATATACTCTCAGGAACAGCCCACTATGGAAGAGAACAAACCAGGTTCCATTTGAAAAGGAAATTAGGAAAAGACCCTGGAAGTGAATAGGAAATACATTACAGAAATCATCAAACTGCATCACGAGGCAAACCGTAACTTGAAATCCTGAAGGGAATCGGAAAAGACGAAGACCAAAAAAACATATTGCATTAGGAATCAGAGGAAAATATGAAAAAGATGAATAGCAACTGAAAAGAACTGAAAGAGATTGTCCAAAACAGAGTTGTATGGAGAATACTAGTGAGCGGCCTATGCTCCTCCACAAGTGGCAACAGGCATAAGTAAGTAAGTAATCTGTCCTCTGAAGAATTTTTCAAGTAATCATCGACGATTCATAGGAATTCTTTCATTTCATCACTAAACAGTAATAGAATGACAGAATAATCAAGGATCACACAGAATAGTTCACGAATGATGTACTTGACATATTTCCTACTTCAAACTAATTAATTAATCGATATTTACAATTATGATAATGATTATCAATGATTTCTGTTTCATTCATCCATACATTGATTGATTCATTTATTGATTTATTATAGTTATGCTGATTCAAGAATGAAACAATATTATTATATGAAGAAATGGTTACCGTCAACATTTCAATTACCTGTTGTGTAATTTATATTTACAACTTTCAAGAGTATCCATTTTTATACTGTTTAATACAAATTATGAATAGACTATACAAAGCACATATCTGGTTAGCGTTTTTTTTTAGCAAGTTAGTTTTCTACGGGATGGGATCGCTAATCCCATATTCAACCCTCCTGTTTTATTTGGAATTGAATCCTACGGTAGCTCCAGAGGGGCTCCAGGCAGAGTTCAAAACACATATCAGTCCATGGTATTTTTGTTTTTTTTTGGATATACAATTCTCTGTTTTATTGAAAATTAATCAATAGTACTAACAAATGCATGAGTAATATAAATAGTATAAAGTGTATGAAGTCATTTGTTGAAAGTTGTTTATACATTCAATGAACTTCTTACTCTGTATTTACTGAAAGTGTGATGTGTGCTACTGATGTCGATAGATATAAGTAGTATGTATCATCAATTGAAAGTGAAATGTCTGGTGGCAGAAGGTTAAAAAGATCAAAGAAAAGAGAACGAAAACAGAAACAAAAGAACAACGAAATCTGAAACATTTGATAGACATTTACCGTACGGATTTCAGATTTTACCAAGTTATTTTGTAATGTTGTGCTGAAATGCATTTGGTTAATCCCTGCCAGTGTTCTCATTCACTACAACAGTATCTGCACCTCAAAAAAGTTATCAATAGGATTACAATGATTTAGTTTAAGGGATCTAACGCTAAGGTTGTGATGACAGGAATAATTAATAATATTATGCTGTTAAAATGAATATAGAATGGACGCCAGCTTATAGGCATCATTATTTTTGGTCAAAATTACTGGATATTCATGATCATCAAACAAGTTCATACTATTCAACAAGATGTAATTTGAAAGTCTTTGATGGTTATAATCCACACTTACTTACTTACTTACGCCTGTTACTCCTCATGAAGGAGCATAGGCCACTCACCAACATTCTCCATCCAACCCTATCCTGGGGAATCCTTTCCAGCTTCTTCCAGTTCCTATTCATCCTTTTCATATCTGCTTCTATTTCTCAATCTTCTTCATAGTTTTGCTAGTTAATGAATCTTATCTTCATACAAATAGATTTTCATAAGCTATCATCTAAACCAGAGATTTGACCATGAATGTTTCCATGTGTATTGTGTAATGGACATGTGGATGGCATACAAATATCACCGTCAGTGAGAACATACACACACTCGAAAAACATCAAATATTACAGGAGAATTCTTTATTGTATACACTAAAGTCATCTGCCTTAATTCTGTTCTAAATGATCTTATCTATTAAAATAATTAATAAGTAGGATATTAATGCTTTATTCTGTATAACATGTTTGTAATAGAAAAATTGGTGAGATTATAATCTATGGATGACCTTTGAGTGACCCCAAAGTGACCTTGAGAGTGTTGACCTAGTAACTAGGACCAAATCAGGGTTATGAAACATTGTGGGGGATTACAGTTATGATTTATTGTTGATAATTAAGATTAGAAATTAAATTTAGGGTTTTCATCACGAACTGACATCAGCTATAATGCCAAAACTCTATTTAGCCAAATGGATGAATGAATTTCGTGTCAAAATCCGAGACCTTATTATCCTATATCTGACTGATTCGTCCAAAAAAACTAATAATCTGGCCGAAAAATTTTGTCATCTAACCTTTAAGCAAAGATAGATGGTAGTTAGCAAAAGCAATCCAGGATGCATGTTTCGTCCTATCTGGTTTTCAGCATCTGGATGTACCTACATACAAAGATGATATTCACTCAAAGACTGATCAATAACGATCTCAAACGTGCAATGCCAAGCGGCGTTCGGGATGGTTGGACGAAAGTTAGGGGCGGACAAACCAAAACGTGGCATCAGTGCTTGAAGTCACTAACTTCTGGTCTGAGCCATGTTGGTGGATGCAGACTAGTTGGTTGGGGTCCGCGTGACTATCCTCACCAATGGTTGAGACTGTCGGTGACATGGCTCAGAATCGATCACAATGGCGTCGGTGTATACACTCTCTGTCTTCCTTTAAACTATGAGATTAAAATCGCTTCATATCTTTCTTTCTACGAATTAATTCTTTCTTCGTGTACTATATCCTTATTGCAACCATTCTTTTATATATTAACACCTCTAAATTAACTACTTTTATGAATCCGGTGTTCATGTTGTTGTGTTAATGAGGTATGTCAACTTGGACCGATATACATATATGTGCCTGGTCCTACATTGAAGCTGACTGATTGACTGACCAAACATCAATGGGAAGATTCAAACAAATAATACAAAAATAAATTATCCATTTATCTTTTAAACATGCTTTAAAAAAACCGTCTATAAATAATACATTTTTCAACCGTACTTTATTATTGCTTCATCTACACCAAAGTACAACTTCAAACATATTTTTCTTCTAAGACGACATTGGTTTTATAAGTCACAATGAAGCTTCCATTTATTCCTCTAAAGAATTGTTATATTCGGTTGTCACAGATTGCTATGCCGCAAAAACGCTGGTCACTTATACTCGGAACGAGAGATCACGGCAATTCCCATGATGCGAAAGTAAGAACACACAAGACTGGTATAAGTGATGACTTATTAGCCCCAAAACACTATGACAACGATGATGATCAAAATAGTCTAAAATACACTCATTTATATATTGATTGTACACCCATTTTGATTAATAATTAGGATGAAATCACACATTCAGTTATAACAAATCACACAATGAGTATAGTTCATGTCAACTAAATACAAGAATATCTCGTATATTATACAGAAGAAAATATCATACTGGGAAAACAATCAAATACTACACTGAATGATCCTCACGTGGAATCAAAACGGATGTTGGATGTTGAATAAAACTCTTAATGAGTAATTCAATCGAAGATTGACTTTTCTTTCCATCAGATCAAGAATAGATAATATGGAATATATTGAAGTATTAAGTTGATTCAAGATTAAATATCAAATGAGATTGTTTAATGATCCAAGATCTGACTCCAATCAAATCGTTTCTGATTGTCATCGAAGTATACATATCGTCAATCCTCGTATATAATTATCGACTTTGATCACGTTAGTCAATAGTAGAATTAAATAAGTCAATCAAGAGAATGAATTTTGGAATGAGCATATTTTGGTACATTCACTGATCTGGACAGGAAATCAGAGGGATGAAACGAATAGAAGAGAACGAAACGAAATGACGCGTAGCGGAGATGGCATGTAAGCCAACTCCTCTTTTAGTCAAGCGTTAATCAATATTTATAGTTACACAAACATAAACTATAGATATATGATGAATAGGATAAGAAGTTCATACATATACGCTCATGTTAGAAACAGTCAGGGTTGATAAGTGAATAATGAACAAGGTCGAAATGTTACTCAAAAAGAATGAATAAATTGGACTATCCAGAAATTAGAATAGAGTATATGGGTTTAAGATAGTAACCGACGCTACATATCATATATCACATATGATTTAGTAGAATATAAAGAAAGGGAGAAGTTGAAGGCATTTGAATATCAGAAGTAAATTTTCATTGAAAAAACAAAAAAAGATTTCTCTGAATGACTTTTTTGTATTAAACAGTAAAGTAAAATCAAAAGAGGGTTTTGTGGAGATTTTAGTAATTTAAGGGTTGAATTCATGAATCAATTAAAGCTAGATCAACATGGAAAACCTGGAAGCATTAGACGGCCGTTTCGTCCTATTGTGGGACTCCTCAATAGTGTGCATCCATAATCCCACACGCCACACTCAAACCCAGGACCTATCGGTCTCGCGCGAGAACGTTTAACCTGTAGACCACTAAGCCAACATTCAACGGTGTTAATGTCTAACTTCAACCAATCCATGAAAGTTCACCACCGTCCACCATCAACTTCAATGAGTTACTATCTCACAAGTTCTAGTCAATAATTGTGAAATATATTACCATTTCATATATTCATATTCATCCATAATTTTAAATGTAGTTTAACTGAATCTACAACGTCTTCCACCATTCAACAAAACTAACCAATAATAAACAGTACTGTTCTCTGTTTCTATTCACCGAACTAAACGAATTTAACGTCTCATTCATATTGAATCATCAAGTTTTTTTTCAATAACGAGTAGTGATGAATGGATCTCGAATTTGCACACATGGAGTTCCTGTTCGTAGGATAAGAAGTGTACACACAGATATGCGCTCATATAAAAACAGTCAAGATTGATAAGGGAATAATGAACAAGGTTAAAACGTAACTCAAGTAGAATAAATAGATTAGCCTGTTCAGTAACTAGAATAGAGTATATGGGCTTAACATAGTAACGAACAGTACAGTTACATACTAATCAACGGGTAAAGAAGAAAATAAGTTATGGGTCAGCTAAGGGCAATAATAACTGTTTAAAGCTTAAAACTACAAAACAGTAATTCAATAATAATCAAACAAAAGTGAAGAAGAAAGTAAAAAAGAAAACCTGAAACATACCCATTAAAGGAATGAGGGCTAAAGAAGGAATGTGAGGTTGGATGAATCGTGGTTGTACGCAAAGTTCAGGCTAGAGTTCTTTGATTGCCAATGAATCAGCAATGAATAAAATATTGATTCAATTTTCTTTCGATCTAATTCCTTTGGCTGTGTAGATTAGTTTAAAAGAAGACTCTTTTGGAGCGATATGCTCACAGTTGATTAAATACTCCTGTATAGAACTAGGAATTGTTTTACATTCTCTTTTTAAAAGTCAAGCTGGATAGTGTTCTGAGATCAGTTTGGAAAGTTTATCGCTTTGTGCGGTCAATCTAATCTGCCTCACATGATGTGGTTCAAAGCGGAAGTTTATTCTTAACACATCCATAAATGGTAGGCCAGCTTCAGAAAACAATACGGAGCTTGGTTGTGTAGGACGTTTTGTTCAACGATTTTGAAATCCGTTTATTTAGGATTTCAGCATCCTCGTCTCCATTAAATTCCATATTCATAAAAAGGGTCTTCTTTTGTACTATCGATGCTTTTCCATGATGATGTCTAGGTGTTAAGTTGCTATCGGTGAATCTAGGTGGATAACCATTCCTAATGAGTCTGTCGAAGTTGAAATACTTCCTCATCTATCGTGTCAGTGGAACATATTCGCTTGATCCTTGAGGATAAAGAGTGAATTAAGTTTCTTTTTCTACTCAGTGGGACCCAGCTATGGAAACCCGTGAACTGCCCACTCCAGGTTGGTTTTCTATATATAGATCTCTGTAAAAAACTATCCGGTATTCTTTTCAATCAGACACCAAGAAAATGGAATTCATTGTTTGCCTCTGTTTCTAAGGTGAATTGAATTGAGGGGTGACAATTATTTCAACTATTCAAACTTTCATTGAGGTCCATGTCTTCTTCGTAAATAATGAAAATATCATCCATATATCTCTTATATAAATGAAATCTCTCAATTATTGGTCGAAGTTGAAAAGTCTTGCTAATTTAACTCTAGATTGGGTTCCTAAGCTCTTCTAGTAACCCCCAGGTTAGATCTACACAGCGATTTGAAGACGAGAGAAAAAGCGTGAAATATGTAAGAAACACTCTACTCCAAAGGTTCGTCTACGTAAAGAAAATATAGGGTTATTACAGTATTTTAGATGTCATTGGGTTTCCCGAAAATCTTGGAATGCTACTAAACATAGTAGCAGTATAAGTATTCATCCATTCATAAACTCTACATGTGAATTTCCACTTTCTTGATGTTTCTGGCAAAACTACAAGGTTTTCATATCTGGTGCAGATGTAAAGGCGCGGATCGGAAAAGTAAGAGTAGCATATCTACAATTGAGGAACTCAAAACATCTGTCTGTCAACCAAAACCAAAGTCAGAATTTTCAATATAAATATCAACACAGTTCTACCGTATGGGACGGAGATTTGCAGAACTACGAAAGCCATCATCCAGAAGATACAGCTGTTTATTAACAGTTATCTATGCAAAATAATTCGGATCCATTGACCAGAACAAACCAGATCTCATAGGAGGAAGAAATCAGGGAGAAGTGCTGGAAATGGATAGGGCACACATTGAAGAAGATACCCAACTGCGTCACACGGCGAACCCTAACATGGAATCTTCAAGCTAAAAGGAGGAGAGGAAGACCAAAGAACACATGAAAAGAATGGACAAGAATTGGATAGAACTTGAAAGGAATGCCCAGGACAGAGTGAGTTGGAGAATTCTAGTCGGCGGTCTATGCTCCATCGGGAGTAACAGGCGAAAGTAGGTAAGTAAGTATATGTTGGGATATTCAGAAAAATATCCCAAAAATGATCCTGTTAAGCTTAATGCTATCCTTGAACGTGAAATTGTGTCATTTTCCTGTTGGTCAATATTCACGGTAGTCTTAACTGTATAAATATGCATTTGTCTGTAAAGTATTATTCCTATTCTTATCCTTCTCCTGACCCCATAAACAATTTTCATCCACGGTTCGTGTTCTGATATATTGGAGATTGGGGAACAGTATTGGGATCGTACTGGGATATTTGAAGTTAGTCAATCGGTAGAAATTAGTGTAGCCACCCCACAATCCACAATAGTATACTTTTCATATGATCACCTTAATAAATGAGATCATTATACTGAATATTATATTTCATCAATTAGAACTACTCAGTTACAGGAAAGCTTCTTTTCCAATTTATTAATCAATAATCCATCGAAATACGTATGTTCTTCTAATTTTACACCATGAACTGTACAATGTTCAAAAGAGTAGAGTAAAAGTAATATTTGTGAAATGATGTAATAACCATCCACATATTTTAAATTACTGTGGTTTTGTAGCATGATCTTGTTCTCTTCTCTCTCTCTCTCTGTCTCTCTCTCTAAATATACCTCAATAGATGGATACACTATTGCAATTATAAAAAAGGAATGTAAATTGGATGTTTTCATATGGAATTGCAATAATATCATCATTGTATCCAGTCACATGATAGTAGTGATAATAATGGTTTCATTCAATATTATATGTTTGATACAATATGAAAAGGTGAACAAAAAAAGATCTGAATCTGTACAGCTTATTGACTAGGTCAATTCTAATAACCTGTTCGTCACAGAGTATATTTGCTAGATAAGATATTGTAGAGCTTTTATACATTTACTGGCATGAATAGATTCCAATGTCTTGGTGTCTCGTTCTACCGAAAGATATACATAGAGAAAGATATGAATGAAAGGGATGGTTAGTATCTGATAAGATAACACCTACCAGGATTTTACAAGACTTTAGATGTCTATCCACAACCATCTTAAATAATGACCTCGAAAGACTCACCATAC